CACGCACGTGAGACTTTAGCAGCTCAGTCCCTTTTGTGTGAAATCCAGATTCTTGTGTTTGGAGGAGGGAGCAGATTGTGTACGTGATACTCACAGTCTGGCACGGACAATATCTAGGGCCTGGGAATGTGAATAGAGAGTGATGACGACGGTTTAGCTCATTTTCTTCACTATGAAAGATCTGACGCACTTTAGGCTATTATGGTGCGATAAAAGTCTTGGCTTGGAAGTCTGCTTACTGACGGGACAAGGTCGGTGCTGCATTTCTGTCCATAATGTATGCTAGCCTTTGAACGGCTGTTGGCGGGGCTCGAGGACGCAATCCAAAGAACAACAGGACGAGTGAGTTCCGTGGCCGGTCGATGAGCGCCTGTCTACCATTATGCATAATCCCGTTCAAAACTGGTAAGCCAACGAGCCCGTGGCGCAGTGGTTATAGCTTTGGAATTCTACCTAACCAGATCGCGGATTCGAGCCCCGGAGGTCATCGGCCTCCGGGTTGGTTACAGATGGCTGTTGATAGCTAATACGACAGAAATGGCCATTTAGGTCTCCCCTGTCTCTTTCGGCAATGTATTTATGTCACTAAATGCCTATTTACAAAGAAGCGAAGTTTTTTGGGAAAAGAATAGCGTTTATTGTGTAAATGTTTGAGACCGGTCCTCCAGTTCGTCGTCAGACAAAGGAAAGATGTACAAAAAAAATTGCTGACTGTAAACGATGTCTAACGCAAGACTCTATGGTTGGCTACAGCATAAGTCAATAAGCCTCACATGCATTTAATTATCCAGTCGACAGTGGTTGCTTATGGTTCCATCTGACCTTGAGAAATTTGCAGGAGCATCTAAATCAATATGCCCATTAATGCATACCTAGGTTGAGTGCATTGCTTCCAGGAATTAGCTGCCCTTTTTAGTTGAGCAGGGCAATCTGGAATAGGTGGCCTCATCCTCGCCGCTAACTGGTGTTCATTCATACGGGTTTACAGGAATTTTCCGGTTTTGTCCCAGTAGACTGCATCAGAGCCGGTACACGGTATACTGTAGACGATTTATTTTCTACTGCAATAGTCAACTCTGTCCTTAGGAGGTACAAGCTGGGTGTGCAAAGTAGGTTTAGACTTGTGCGCAATTTGTATCTGGTGTCTTCTTTGCTGTCTTTCGATGAGCTCAGATGTATTCTTTACATGTAGGAGGGTTCACCAGTTCGTTGGTCTTAGCGCTTCAGTAGTCGCAGCTCTGCAAATACCTTTTTATTCGAACTGTTCCTGTCCCATGCATCCGCGAAAAAGGTCCGGAAGATACTCATTTTGTGAAAATAATTCGAAAAGATATTTTATTTCTGTTCGATTTGCTTCTTGATCCGAACAGTAAATTTTCCTATACGCATGCTAGTGGACGCACTGCAGATGTAAAATTTGTAAAGAAACACTGAATGCGTGAGAAGGTGTATCCGCAGTAAAAAAAAGGTAAATTTATTCTCACGAAGAAACA